TTTACTTTCACAAGTTCTGTTGTTTATAAATAATATAATCTGTCGAACTTCCTTCGTATTGCCTCACTGTGGCTGGATGGAATAAATTCTGAAACCTGAATAGGCGTTGTTGACGTGTAAATGTGGGCAGCCATATGCTAATGTGATAATCGGTTTGACGTCATAATGTTGTGGAAGTTAAAAAAAAAAAAACATGACACGGGAAGTAATATGACAAACTGATCTTCAGATTCAAAGGGTTTGTTATTGTGAATCAAAGCCGTCAGCAGAACCACAACTAGCTGACCATGAGAGACCCTTGAGGTGAGGGTGGTGCACGTCTCCCATGAGTAATACTGCCCGACACAGCTGCAAGCATGCATTACTCTAAACATCTAGAGAAATGCACAATGCCAAGCAGGGCCGTACCCAGGCTTTGCAAATTAGTGAGGTCTTGGGGGTGATGGGGGTTGGTGTTAAAGAATTGAGTTATAATAACCCCTACAAATACAACTCATTATATACACTATAAACACTTTAAAGGAGACAGACATGTAGATGTTTGTGAAAGATGTTTTCTCTGTTTTGGAGGGATGATTATTTTTACAGTAAATCATACCCTATTTATTGCATCAAAAGTTGTTAATACTTTACTATATTTAAGGGTGGATAATTTTATTAGTTGTTTATTGCAACAATACATAACTACAATAACTTTGTCTAGTGCTCTTATGAAAGTTTATAGCATGATTTGTGAAAATGTAACTATACTGAATGACATGACTTCTTCATGGCTAGTTTTTGCGTATTTCATTTCATTCTGTAACCTAAAATATGATAAGATAAAAATATTGGTTACTCTAAACTGCAACTTCCTACTTTATTAACTTTCTAAAGTGTTAAATTAAGTGGAAAAGACAAATCCAAAAACGCTTATAATAGCTGGATCTGCGCCCGCGCCCTCACTCACAACTCGCTCAAGACTCGTTCACTCCGCCAGCGTCTTGCAGAGATCATTTTCATAACAGGGATGCTAAACATTCTTGCAAACTGTCTAAACTGAATTATACATGTCATGCAGGCATTCATATGAGGAGTTTAACAGCAAATTAGTCATTCAAAGAACAAATGTTGTTTTTGAACATGAAAAATTTACCGAGGTCCTGACCTTGGTGGCCTCATAGTTGGTTACGGGCCTGATGCCAAGAATAATGCAAAATGATGAATGACGTACTCAAGATATTTTCGTTCACAGCAATATCTAGTTATTTGGCATCAGGAGCCTAGAGTCTGAAATAATTATAAATGCAAACTGGACTTAAAACACAATCATGTTATGTTTAAGGTTGTTTGGTAAAATACTAGATCAATGATCAATCATGAATGCAATATTAACAGTAACTAAAATGTTTCCAAAACGGTGCCAACAGGGACTCGCTTTTAATTTTGTGACTTGTTACAGCAGTATTTTGGGTGGCACACGGCACATTAACCACCCAAAATTACTTCCAGCAATAACAATCAGCATTGTATGGAGAAGATTAGACACTTTTGCACTTAAAAAACAGGTACACGGAGAACAGTTAAACAAAAAAAAAAACAATGCAGAGTCCAGAGAAACAATACTTTCCATATTAAAATACTATGCACATGCCATTTAAACAAAAAAAACAAAGCAAAATGCAATGCAATAGTCAAAGATGTCTATTTGAAACTACAACTGAAAAAATAAATAAAAATCTTCAAACCAAACTCTTGTTATCATACACGTTATTTTTATTTATTATTTTAATGAATGAATTAACTTGTTTAATTATTATTATTATTAATATTATTATTATTAATAAATAGCTGTCTGTCAGTTTTGCACAAAACAAATCATGGTTTGTAAAGAGACTTGGAAGATTCACAACGGTCATCTTATAATAATGTTTTCTAATTTGAGTGGTACGGGTAGGTTTTCGCTGGAAATTCGAGCATGCTGCTGCATCATTATGTCACTTCTGTAAACATAAAGAAGTTGTCCCGGCTACCGCATGTGAGGATCCTGCAGGTTGCCGATCGTTTATAGCCTTTTCTCACAGCAGCCAGAATAATTAACGGAGTGTCTATTTACACTAAGTGCAAATAGCCCGCCTTGTTGGCAGAGGCTATTTACACTAACACCACCCACCAACGTGTGATTCGGCTAGTCAACATTATAAAAGACAGTCAGCAGTTGTCAGTTCCAGTGGTGCAGATGGTATAATGTGTGTCGTACTCATTCTGACGCGATCGACCCGGGTTCGAATCCGCCTTTTGACGAACTTTTTTCTCCCTTTTCCAATTTTAAATCACATCAGAAAAGCATTTATTTTCTATGAAAATGAAGGAAATAATCAAAAAGTTGAAAATAAAGTATCAGGTAGGGTTAGGGTAGGTGTAGGGAGGGCTTTATTGTCCTAATAAGGTGGCATCCATTTAATAATTGAGAATATGTGAGTGCAAAGTACAATATCCACACCGGTGCGGTGACTGACTGCCACACATACTCCTCAAAACAATAGATTCATCCGTGCTGGAGCCGTGCCGCCACACAACCCACGCAAGGAAGATAATTCCGCACACAGCTGCAATTGCAGGTTTTCAAACAGAGATGGCGACAAAGAGGCAAAACTTATGGACTGCAGCTTTAACTAAATGAAAATGATAAATGTTGCCTTGGTTATTTATTTATTTCATTTAAAGTTTTTTTTTTTTTTTTTTAAGTTAACAATAAAAACCCCGTCTTGGCCAAGGTGCAGACAAATGATTTGTAGCCAGTCACATGAAATGACAATTTTAAGAAAAATCAGGATCCTCTACCAACTGGTTGTCAAATGGACAAATACAGTAAGCAGTAACTCTACTCTAAGTGACACAGACTTACCAGCAAAGCAGCTAACTGTTGGATTACTCAATGAATGGTAAATTGCCAAGTTGATAAGGTTTATAATGTTCCCCCCTCCACTTCTCAGATGGTTCTTACACCCCTGGGTACATGCAGGGCTTTGCTTTTACAGCATTTCCTTCGGCTATGCTCCAGCTCAATATTGTATCAATAAAAAGATCTAATAATGTTTCAGGGGGATTATTAGTCTGTTTCTCTGTCCCTAAATCTTCGAACATACTCATGCTCATATGGACGGCTCCAAACGAAAGTCTGAATTTTATTTGGATCAAGGCAGTTAGTCATCCACAGCTGCGTCTGGTGTGAGTGTTCTTCACCCAGGCATGAGAGGGATGAGGTACAGGGTGGATGGAGGGGCTTCTGAGAGGGGGACGACGACACAAGTGAACACACATGCTTGAGCTATGACATCTCTTCCTCTGATAATCAGTTAAAGGGACAGTTCACCCAAAAATCAACATTCTGTCATCATTTATTCACCCTCGTGTTGTTGCAAACCTTTCTTCTGTTGAACACAAAAGAAGATATTTTGAAGAATGTTGGTAACCAAACAGTTGCCGGTAGCCATTGACTTCCACAGTATTTGTTTCCATACTATGGAAGTCAATGGCTACCGGCAACTGTTTGACGACCAACATTCTTCAAAATATCTTCTTTTATGTTGAGCTAAAGAAAAAAAAACTCATAAAGGTTTGGAGTAAATAATGACTGAATTTAGTTTTTAAGCGTTTTAACCACTGGGCGGTCATTCTAGCCCCAGTGAGGCCGTGTTTAGCTAATCCAACCAATAATTTGAGCTTCAGCACTCCGTGAGGTTTAGACTGGTGAAGTTTAGACTACAGAAGCTGCATAGCAACAGTGTTCGCTAAAGACCTAAATATTTACATCTTAAAGCTGTTATTTCTGCAGCAATGTCAGTAATGACTTTACACTGTGTTCACACTCACCCAACAAACGCCAACACTTTAAACATTCTACATTTGGCTGTTGTACTTAGAATGTTGGAAACATAACCGTCATGTTCACATTGACTCAACAAGCTTGTCAATGTCCGCTTTTAAAGGGGTCATATGATGTTGCTAAAAAGACCATTATTTTGTGTATTTGGTGTAATGAAATGTGTTTATGCGGTTTAAAGTTTCAAAAAACACATTATTTTCCACATACTGTATATTATTGTTTCTCCTCTATAATTTTATTTTAATTATTATATTGATATTTAATTATTATAATTATATTTATCTAATTTGTATACTTTTCTATTTTGTTACTTTATATATTTTTATTATATGCATTATTGTATTTCTTAAAGGGGTCCTATGACGTTGCTAAAAAGAGCATTATTTTGTGTATTTGGTGTAATGAAATTTGTTTATGCGGTTTAAGGTTAAAAAACACATTATTTTCCACATACTGTACATTATTGTTTCTCCTCTATGCCCCGCCTTTCTGAAACGCTTTTTACAAAGCTCATCGTTCTGAAAAGCGAGGTGTGCTGTGATTGGCCAGCTATCCAGTATGTTGTGATTGGCTGAATACCTCAAGCGTGTGACGGAAATGTTACACCCCTCACCATACTGTGATGCCCTGTCCGGCCAGAGCGACGAGACAAAAACATTAAAACCCATTATAAACGAGGCATTTGTTGCATCCAGTGGGGACATTATTACGGATTATATTGACTTATACTGTCTTTTTACACGTTGCGATGCATCGCGACGTGTACACATAAAACCATGTCTGCATTTGTGATCGGATAAATGACAAACAAAGTCTAACTCTACACTGCCCAAAAACTTGCGTTTGAATTGTCAGTGGCAAATTCTTTAAATATAAAAAACGTACTTACAGTCTGTGAGTCAGAACAGCCAGCATTGTAGTCTACTCTCCCAGGATCAGGAAACAGTCCTCCATAAAATGCACTGCACACATCTGAATATTTGGGTTGAACTATATATATATAGCGTATATATATATATATTAATAATATTACATATGCATTTATTTAAAATTTGCCACCACCAAAACCGATGTTAAGAAAACATGCATGCACTTATCAATAAAGCTGTAAAAGATGGTTGGAGATACTCACTGTTGTCTCTATATGTTTCAGTGGGAGGTCATTGCTGGGGGCCTGCGATCAAAGAATCATAAGAAAGAAAGCGGTTAATACACTGACAAGCACAAATGACTGAAAAGGCTTCAAGAAATCTGCTTTCCTGACACCCCTCCATATTATGTCTGTAGGACACCTGAAAGTTTGTTTTCTAGATTCAAAACTCATTGAACTGCAGTGAAAATTCACTCACTAATCTAATGATGCAGTTTTAAAATAATCTTTTAAAAGCCAAAAAGTGCATTAAAAAATCACTATAATAGTAATCGTTTTGAAGAAATGTTATGCAAATAGATTAATCATAGCTCAACGAACAATCAAAAGTAAACAGAGCATGTTGCTACAAGGTCATGGGTTCAATTCCCAGGAAATGCATGAACTGATATATGCATAGCCAAATGCATAAATGTAAATGCAATGTGTACACTAGGGTGACCATACGTGCCATTTTCCCAGGACGCGTCCTGGCCAGGATTTGTTTTGGCTTTGTTTTATTGGTTAGGGAATTATTTCATACACTGATCAAACAGCACCAAAGAGTGAAAGAGAAGACATGGGCTGGGTCCAGTGTGTAGGTGCATCACTAAACAGCCTAGGTAAATATTTAGACAAGAGCGCACAGCTCCAGCATTACTGTGAATCTGCCCAGTGGCCAAGAAGCACCATATACAGAAGTTTAGCACAGGATCCGTAGCACAGTTTATTTCCCCATCAACTCAGAGCCAGAGAAAGGCATTTATTTATGAAGCTTCTGGGCCCCAGGAATCCATGATGTCATTGGCCAGCTCGAGTCTGGCTAGCCTCAGAATACCCATGTAAGTCTGAGATGGCACAAGAACACAAGAAATCACCATGAGGAGACAGCAAGACATGGCAAGACGGCATTGAGATCGCTATGTCCCGCTTTACTTTTCCAGTATCAGGCAACTCTGTGGTTCTTTAAACCACCGCTGAACTCGATGGCAAGGTTGAAGAAATCAGGAGATATAATGTGTATAAAATATGTGAACGGCATCCAGGGAATCATTCGAAAACTATATATGTATATAATTGTAGATGTATATATAAAATAAGTATATATTTATACTAAGCTAATACAATATATTTATGTAAATGTAAATTTATTTAAACACACACACACACACACATATATATATATATATATATATATATATATATACAGGTGCATCTCAATAAATTAGAATGTCATGGAAAAGTTCATTTATTTCAGTAATTCAACTCTGTATATATATATATATATATATATATATCATATATAAGATAAATAAAAATAAAAAATATACATTTAAAATTAAATGATTTGACTGGAGTAATGGCTACTGAAAATTCAGCTTTAAATCACAAGAATAAATTACATTTTAAAATATATTCAAATAGCCTCCTGACTACCAGCTATGGAGTTTTGTCCTCTGTAGAGGACATAGTTTTTTAGTGATTTCTCTGAGGCGTTACATGTCACAGTTTTAAGTCTGGATGTCCTGTACAGAGCACATTCAGGGCTTTTCAGAGATACCAAATGATTGGATGTTTCACCATGACCACTCCCTCTCCTTGGTCTTTAAAATGGTTGACATTAATTTAGTGATCAAGTGTAACACCCTTATGAAAATATGATAATATTTTGTAATTATCATTTAAATGTGACTCATTTTCAAATTGTTTGTCATAAATCAACATCTCAGGAAAATGTTATGGGGTTTCAAATCAAAATATGACCTAAAACTTGTTTATGGCCATTTTACACACATTTTGCATGAAGAAAAATGGTTTTAAAAAATATCTTTCATAACATAGTTGAGAATCGTCTTTACAGTATATAAAGTTTGGTATAAAAAATGAAAACTGATTTGTGATTAAAACAAAAATCCCACTGTTTTTGCCTTTTCATGTCTATTCATGTCTTTTTATTTTTTTAAAAACAGGACTTTTTAAAGTCCCGATGTCTTCTACAGAGGACATGGCATAACATATGAATAAAATATAATATTTCAAAATTTTTCTTATGCTCTAAACAATGTAATGACATGACAAAATACTAAATTCACAAAACTGTTTTTTCCTGGTAGTCAGGAGGATAGAAAACTGTAATATTAAATATATTAAATTGTAATATTACTTTAAAATATTACTTTTTTATATCAAATAAATGTAGCCTTGGTGAGCATATAAGACTTCTATCAAACACTTAAACATTTTAATTATTCCAAACTTTGGAGTAGCAGTTTATATAAAAGCATTATTTATTTGAGGGGGAAAAAAAAAACTTATTTCTGTGTTACAACTTATTTTTGTGATACAATATATATAAAAAAATATGTGACCGGAATCCTGGGAATTGTTCAAAAGAGATTCAAAACAGCCTCCGCTGAAAGGCGAAACCTCAGGCTTTTGAGGTCTGAGTGGTCAATGATGTAATGTGAATCATCAAATCTCTGTTCCGCAAGAGACCCTACATGTCTGTCTCAATTCCTGAGAAAAAAAATCCTTGCAAAGTCTGTCTTCCAAGACTAATAAAGCTGGTGGGAAATTATACCCCAGCTGTAGAGTTTGCACTACAGCAGCCCCCAAAACAGCCTCGCAGAGCTGAGGCTCAACCGCTAACTAGAGCGCATCCGCTCCGCCAACACCGAGCAAGAACGCTTGGCAACGTCAACTTTCTGTGTGCTTCTAGCATGTCCATCTAGCATGACCACCACCAAACCCATTATGGTCCTCGCTGGTCACACAAAGACGTCAGTCCATTAGATGCAGTTCAACCACTGGCGGAACAACACAGAGCAGAAAGGTCATCATCTAGGTCAGCTATCTCTGTTATCTGTCTCCTTTGCCAAGAAGTCCCATACAGCAGTTTTTACAACCACATCTGAGGGAAAGCAGAGATTTCAGAAGAAGTTAACAACACACAATCCAAGCCAGCATGCAAATTCACAGGTGCAACAATTTCATGGATAAACTCTCCTCAGCAACAACAACATCTAGTTTTAGCCGCGTCTGGGAGTGTGCTGGGATTTGAATGTAAAGATCAGGTCAGCTGAGAACCGTGTGCAGATCAGACGCATGATAATACTGCCGCTGGGAGTCTTTTTCTTCTCCACTGCTCCAAATGTTAAACCTTAACACATTTTGCAAAATCTGACACACTCTCTCACCTCGCTTCAACGGCACTCAGTATTTTGTCAACTCTTCTCCTCCACAGCTTTCTCTGTCTTTTTGTGTTTACTTCCATCTTTCTTTGATCTTTGACTTTTTTTCAGAATAGGCCAGTAGTAGATATGAAACGGAAAAGATCTGAGACTAAGATCATGTGAAGGTACATTCGAGTGAACTTTGCATTGCATCAAATACACCAGTATTTCTGCCGCCCTTTTTACGAAAGACTATGAAAGACTTTCAGACTTGACTTTTTAGATCTATTCTTATTCAGCAGTGTTATCGTTAATAAAAACCTAAATGAAAACATTGCTAAATGAAATAAAAAACGAAAAAAACCAACATAACTGAGACTAAACAAAAAAATGTATTAAATAATAAAATAAAAATATATAAAATATGTATAAAAAAAAATGAAATAATAAAACTAAATAAATACTAACATAACTGAAATTAACAACAAAATATAAAATAAAAAAAATTATAAAACAAACAAAAATATTGCCACATTCATTTTAATTATATGTGGTACACTTAACAACTCACAACGCAATCACTCACCACTAGATATCAATAAATTATACTCTTTAGTGCAGTGGTCGCCAACCCGTCGACTGGTAGATCTTTATCACTGTCCCAGTAGATCCCGAAAAAAAACCCAGTAAAATAAGTACAAAAATGCATTACATTTATGGTGTTATATTAATGCATCACTGAAGGGAACTGTCTTGAGAAAAGTTTCGATGGCAATGACATTTTCTTCTCCGTATAAAGCGCAACTCTGCTTTGTTGCATTACCTTTGGCAGCCCTAAAAAAAAAAAATGTAAATAAACTGAAACAATAAAAAACTAATGCAAGCATATTAATGAAAACAAATGTAAACAACTGAAAATAGAATAATAGTAAAATTTAATGTAAAAAAATTCAAAACTATAATGACTGCGGCTTACTACAGTATTGACTGCAGAAACTGTTTCCCAGAATGTTGGGTTAAGATTATTGCACCATAGTAACGATAGTGAGCAATATTTTGCATTGAGCAACCCACCAAATCTTGAGTCCCCACAATCTTGGATAAAAGCTGCAATTTTTGTACATCATCAGCAAAGATTCTTAATCGTCAGGCTACTATTGCCAAAGTAAAGTCAATGCTCTGGTCTTACATGCTCAGCAAGACTTCCTTCAGGCTTATGTGGTTTAGACTGCTTCTTAAAATGTTAACAAGAACTTTTTCATCTCCAGCAGTCACACTGGAGCTTAATGGACAATGATCTTGTACAGAGTGCGTCGGGTGAGGTCATTATTATCAACATATTCCAGTCAACAGAATTGTAATTCAATAAGTTCAACTTCCTGTGGGTGTGGCCAATTCTAATTCCAACTCATTAATTATAATGAAATCAATTCTTAATCGATGCTATGCAACAAAGTTTGAATACTTAAGGTTTAGTGTTTTTTCCAGCCTTAATTCTGAGCATTAAGTAGAAGCCACAGAATAGTGAGGCGTGTTTTAGTGAGCAGGACTAATAAGGGCCACCTGACAGGATTGCAGGAGTAGATCTGTTAGTGCTGGGTGGTATACCGGTTCATACCGAATACCGGTTTTTATTTTTGTTATGATATGCATTTTTAAAAAAGCGTGAAAGTTCCTAAACTGAAGCTGTAGAACTAATAGAACGTGATGACACAGAAGAACTCATCCACAATATCCACATTGACCGCCACAAATATCCACCGCCCCCTGCCATCAGCTCCCGCGTCTCACACACACGAGCGCGACTTTAGCACTAGATTGATCAACTTTCAGACCCTTTTATCGGCTTTTTTCCATAGAATATTCATACTG